GAGCCTCAAGCTGTCCCCCTGGGTAGAGTGCAGTGGCATCACAGCTCATAGCAACTCCAACTCCTGGGCTCAAGTGATTCTCCTGCCTCCACCTCCCAAGTAGCTGGGATTACAGGTGCCCGCCACGTCTGGCTATTTTTTGGTTGCAGCCATCATTGTTGTTAGGCAGGCCCGGGCTGGATTCAACCTCCCTAGCTCAGATGTGTGTGGCTAGTGCCTTAGCCTCTTGAGCCACAGGTGCTAAGCCTAAACTACTGCTTTTAATATTAATATTCTATATGAACTAAGAAAATGCCTACTAAGGAGTTAAAGATTCTCTTCTCTCACTGTGAGTAAAACTAGCCTTTTCCAATTAAATATTAGTACTTCAAAGAAAGAATGTATTACCTGACTAAATGAGTTATTTTTTGTAAAAAGTTAACAAATACAGTGCTACTAAGTTACTTGAGTAATACACACATACATGCATTCCAAAAATGAACAAAAAATGTGGTTCTAATTAGTAGACACTTTAGGAGCCCCATTTATGCATCTGCATTATTTCCAAGAAAGTGTGCCACATATTTTACTTTTCTTATAAATAATATACCGTGAATTCAAGGACAAGTCTTTTAAAAAAGCAAAGTGATTATTTACTAACTGCAGAATAGTAAGTACGATATACAAATATGGTTACACATTGATTTGGTATTTATCTCTAGAGTTCACTGCAACAAAGGAAGAATTTTGTGGGTTTTGTTTTTGAGATGGGGGTTGCACTAAGCTGGAGTGCAGTGGCTATTCACAGAAATAATCACAGTACACAACAGCCTGGAACTCCTGGCCCCAAGCAATCCTCTTGCCTAAGTCTATTTATTAGCTGGGACTACAGGTACATACCACCATGTCTAGCTCTAGAATTTCGTATTTTAAGATCTAACATTTAGAGTGAAGGAACATGTTTCAGATATATACAGATAACTAACTGAATGTTCCATTCAAAATAAGTGTTTTTCACATGTAAAACTGGCTAATCAAAATTGATACTAACTTATTTTCTCTTATGAACACACAAACTAGCCCAAAGTCTGAAACTTTCAGCTATAAATCTGGCTAGCTAACTAACCTTAAAATTAAATTTCCACTTACACATAATTTTAAATTACCTCCCAAATTAAACCATTTCAGATGAATTTAAAATTGTTCAAATTTTTTCTATATTGCTTATACATATAGAACAAACTAATTAAGAATAGTATTTAGGATCAGCTATACCTATGGGGACCATATAATTTATCACTCATCTAGGAGTTGGGAAGGGGGCACCAACTAGACCAGATACCAGGACAACAGGCATAAACCAGAACTGTCTCTAGACAACTGGGACACATGGACAACCTACTTATGACAGTGAGTTTAGTATTTCTTATCTCAGACATGAAAATTAATTTGGAGTCTGGGTATTGCCATTTTGTGCCAACAAATTTCTTTCTAATCCCCAAATAGTATGCCTAGAAATCAAATTTGATAATCAAATACAAGTAATTAAATTAATAAATACATACCAAACCGAGCAGAAATTAAAGGAGAGAACATAGGAGGTTGTTTCATAATAGGAGGAAGAACTATGGGCAACTGTTGTCCTTGAAGCTTTAGTTTGATAAGTTTCATAGCTATAGAGAACTCCTGCTGATCCATCTTCCCATCTTTGTTCAAGTCTGACAAAGCCCTAAAAGAAACATGAGGTGAGTAGATTGGTATGCAGGTATGGAGGTGAGAAAACTACCATTACTTCAGGGGTTAATAAAATAAAAACGACTTGGCATTCACATGTAGATCATCACTTAATTTTAAAAATGTATAAATTTTAAAAAAACTTAAGCTTGCATGTTAAGAAATAATGACCAGAGATAGCATCCAATAGAACACTGCTTATCTATACAGAATCTAGAGACTTTGGGGATGAATTCCACCAATGTGGGTAAGAAAAAAAAATCAAGAGTATAATACTTCTAAATTTAACTTATTTAATAAATTTCTAATTTACACATTTGTTCAAATACTTGAATACTTGCTATGTGCCCCGCACTCTTCCAGGCACGAGAATATTCCAAGTAGAAAGATAGACAGGGTAAGGGTTGTTATACATTGTATATACACATTATATAAAAAACAGGTATTAGAGAGAATAATTTCTTTAAAGTAGGAGCAGGGGAGGGAAGGCTAATTTGAGGTTTACAGATGATGAAATAAATAAAACTATAAAGTAAAAGAAGACTTTGAGATTCTACCAAATTATAAAGGAATTTTTTTTATGATAAAGTATACAATGTCTTTCCTTAGAAATTCTTAAAAAATTAAAATAAGAATAAAAATAAAAAGAAATTCTAATGAAATGAGACATTTGTCCCATGGAACTAAATCCAAATTATTTTCAATCATTTGCTCAAAAAAATTTATTTTCAAACTGAAGAAATATTGTTACCTAAAAACCACTGTTTATGTTAACAACAAATTGTAAAAACAACAACAACAAACGTTCATAAATTTAAGTTCAATTATGAAAGAATAAATTTTACCATATTTCAGCTAAAACAGGAGCCGGCAGACCTGATTGTAAGAAAAAAGTACGTGCTTGGTCACCTGAAGGTAATAAAAACAAAAACCAAACAGCACATTAGTAAATGAAATTAGTTCAATGACTCTGAACAATAATCATGGGCGTATATTACTGATTTTGAGGTTGCTGTGAGCTGTGATGCCACCATCACTCTACCAAGGGTGACATAGTGAGACTCTGTCTCAAAAAAAGAAAAAATAAAAAGAATAAATGAAACAAAAATATAAAAAAATTATTTACACTACTTTAATAAAACTTAGATATTTAAAATAAGTCATATCTAAAGTTCTTTTATCCATCCATCAATGATGAAAAAAATCATTATCATTCATCTGAGTTTTTCCACAATTGGGGCCTAACATATTTCTATTTAGTAAGATTTAGAGTCAAAAAAACTATTCCCTCAAAGAGTTCTATAGAAAAAGTCCTGAGTGTTAGGAGAGACAGTCTTCCATGAGTTTCCTCACACACCTACATGTCCTGCTGTGTATGCCAAGGATGCAAGACCTTAATTACTCTCTCCCCCTGAGTCTGCAGTGATGGAATCTTGAGGAATGAGGTAATGTTTCCCATTGAGACAAAAGACAAAAAAACTTGCTTTACTGTTTGCTCAGTAAAGATCGGTTTCTCAAATCAGTGTTCCTCTCCTGTAACACAATCACAACATATGTAGCATCCTCTGGGCTGTCTGCATTGTCCCTGTGGAAGGTTTCAGGTTATCACGGCTTAGGGAACAAAGGAAGTTCACAAAAATATGCTAATGCTTACGTGCTACTAGTAATAAAGTCCCCTGTCTCTTACTCAGAAGCCTTGAGTCTTCTGCAAATACCCATGAATGGTTATTAACTTGTAAGCGGAGTAATCAATCCTAGTACCAGGTAAGGTACTTAATTATGATAGGAATACAAATTACATCAAATTATAATGATTAAGTGAATGGATTCCAAAGTTAAGCTAAGTGGTTTCAAACCCCAAATCAAGGGCAGCAGCTGTGGCTCAAAGGAGTAGGTGCTGGTCCCATATATACAGGAGGTGGCGGGTTCAAACCCAGCCCTGGTCAAAAACTGCAAAATTAAAAAAAAAAAAAATAAAGCCCAAATCAACCCTAGCCGTCTTTGTAAACTTAAAAAATTACATAACAAATTTTAATCTCAGTTTCACCATCTATAAATACAGACAAAAGTAGTCATAGGTTTGCTCTGACAGTTGAATGAGATAATATATTTAGCATAGCACCTAACATATAATAAAATTTTAATACACATAATTATTTACATACTATTATTTTATTTTATTGTTTATATACTAAGACTGTATATAAACTCCTCGGGTGCTTTGGACAGGAAGAAAGTATCATTTACAGAAAAAAATTTGAAAGTAATACCTAAATTAACCCCCTCTTGGCTCTGGTCTCTTTCTGCAAAACAGGGGCTAGCATCAATCATCAGTAGTTGGTATAGCCTCAAAGACAGTGGCTAAATTATGAAAACAGATTCCAGAAAAAAAATCTAGATTCTTTTCCAGGATATGGGTCTGATACAGGGAATAAGTTGAAATTTTTCTAGACAGTTGAATGTGAAATTAAACAACAGAAATCCTTTATCATCATTTAGGACTCAGGAAACATTTTCCATACGCCAAATTCAAAACAACAAATTAAGATGGTTATAAGAAAAATACAAACTTAATATTATTTTTATTCTAGAATTCTGATTGATATGAATTTTTATCACTGAACAAAATTTTAATGGTAGTCAAAGCTAATTCTAATATATTATATGAAAAGGATAATTCACAAATAAAACAAATTATAAACACAAACCTGTTATGTAACCTCCTGATGGTTTGAGGTTATCAAACTGCTTGTCATGCTTAGTACGTTCCTCAGAGGTAATAGCCCACATGTTTGGCCCTCCTAAAACATAAGTGGAAGACAAAGAAATCATAATGTATATATGAAATGCAATTCAAAATGCAATTCTAAAATGTAAATATAAATCATAAGCGTCCATTTAAAACAGTATTTTTTTTAAGATAGGATCTTGCTCTATCACTTTTTTTAAGATAGGATCTTGCTCTGTCACTTGGGCTAGAGTGCAGTAGTGTCTTCATAGCTCACTGCAACTTCAAACTCCAGGGCTCAAATGATCCTTCCACCTCAGCTATAGGATACACCAACACTCCAGCTAATTTTTCTATTTTTGTAGAGATAAGGCCTCATTATGTTGGCCTCATATTGGTTTCCAACTCCTGGCCGCAAATGATCCTTCTACTGTAGCCTTCCAAAGTGCTAGGATTACAGGCAGGAGGGACCACACCCAGCCATAGTATTTAATATCTGCGTGACACAAAGTAGATCCCTACAATAACAATATACACTCATTCACTCAATATCTATTGAAAATAACTGTATGGCACTCACTGGAAATGGAAACCAAGGTAAATACTGGTAATAAAAAAACAAAAAGATACTCCCATCCTCAAGGAATTCATACTCTAGAAAACTACCAACATTTAGAGTTAACCTGTGAAGAATCCTAAGCAAAATACATACCCCAAAAGCCATGCTAATTCTGAGCACCAAGGATGAGATAAAAGGAAAGGTAAGAATGAGGCAGAACCCTGAAACCTGGCTTAAATTGTGCCATGTGGAGAGGTAGGACCTGAACATTTCACACAAACAGGACACGGCATGAAGCGTCAAGGCATGTGCAAGGTGCTGTGAGTGCACTGAGCAGTCTCATAGTGACAGTGCCATGTGAGAGTGGGAAGAAAGAAGCAGGTGGGATGAATTGTAAAGGGTCTTAAATACCAGACCCAAAAGTCTGGTCTTTACCCTGGAAGTTAGAGACAGCCATCTGATACTTTTAAAATAAGCTTTTTTTTTTTTTGAGACACAGTCTCACTATGTCACCCTCGGTACAGTGCTGTGGCATCACAGCTCACAACAAGCTCAAACTCCTGGGCTTAAGTGATTCTCTTGCCTCAGCCTCCCAAGCAGCTGAGACTGCAGGCGCCCACCACAACGCCCAGCTATTTTTTGGCTACAGTTGTCATTGTTGTTTAGTAGACCTGGGTCAGGTTCAAACCCACTTTTGGTATATGTGGCTGGCGCCCTACTCACCAAGCTACAGGCGCTGAGCCTAAAATAAGTTTTTAATTTGAAATAATTTTAGATTTACAGAAAAGTTACACAGATAGTACAACAGGGTTCCTTATTCCCTTTACCCAATTTTACTATGTTAACAACATCCATGATTGTGTCACATTTGCCAAAACAAAGAAATTTACATTGGTATACTATTACTAACTAAATTAAATACCTCTACCACGTATTTAATGGTAGCTGGTAAACTCCAACAAAAATGGACCCTGGGTACTGAAGACAGTACAAGGATTTATGACTGATGATCTGCCACTGAACCACCTTTTGGAGTCTGAATGCTCGACCCATGGAGCATCCAGCACTCTACCCTGGCTAGAGGGCAGTGGTGTCATCTCATGGCTTTCTGCAACCTCCAACTCCTGAGCTCAAGCCTTCCTCCTGCTTCAGCCCCTGGAGTAGCTGGGACAACAGGAGCATGCCACCATACCTAGCTGATTTTTCTAATTTTTTGTATAGTCTCAAACACCTAGCCTCAAGCAATCTTCCTGCCTCAGCTTCCTAAAGTCCTAGGATTATAGGCATGAGTCACCACACCCACTCATAATATTTTCTTATTTTTCTAGAGAGACAGGAGTCTCACTATGTTGCCCTGGTTGGTCTTAAACTCTAGCCTCAAGCAATTCTCTTGTCTCAGACTCCCAAAGTATTGGGACTATAGGTGTAAGCAACTGCATCTGGCCTATGGATGTGATTTTCGTAAGATGCTCTCTGCTGGTATGATCCATACTCAATCTTAAGCAGGCCCCGTCCACCTGGGCTCTGGGAGTGTGGATTTCTCAGCATTCCTGCCCTTTCTCCCTGTGGCATCCAAACTCCTCCTTATATGGGTGGTTCATCTTAGGAAGGACTTTCTGAGTGCTCCCCACAGTAGTACGAAGATACCCCTGTTTGATACTGATAGAGGATTTTAAGCCCAAGAAGGTTTCTTTCCCCTCCCTCAGTGGGAGAGAGGTTTTTCTTCTGTTCTCCCCAGAAGCAAGGTGTATTTGTCACTTTCTGGGACAGCAATATGCTGACCCTTTCCTAGTGGGTTAAGACTTTAGCATAACAAGACGAAAAGATCCAGGGAAGTGCACACTATTTCAAGCCTATATCCCCAGAGCTGCCAGCAACACCAGGGGACTCCTTTTGATCTCTTATGCAGTAAGCAACTGTTGTGCTTAGTACCCAGTTGATGCCCCCTGGAAGGAGCTTACAAATGTAAACTCCCCAGGAAAGAGCTTGTAAATGTAACGTCTACATGGCCCCCATTTGTTCCAGACTGACATACTAGTCCTCAGTTGTCTTCTACTAGTTCATTAAAATTTTAACTAATTTTTGCAACAAATGCTGTATTTGAGACTGAATTCTGTGGAAAACTGCTTCAATTGCACTGACAAGAGTCATGGAAACCCTTTGATCTTGCCCGCAGTCCCATTCTCTGCCCTGGATTCCAGCCCCCCATTCTGAAGCCCTACATTTACCAGATACAAACCTGTATATGCTGAATCCCATCTAAGGTGCGTCATCATTTCTAGAAACTTCTCCAAGTTTCTGGTACACTGATGGGATGAGGCCTTTTCTGTTTTCTAAGGCTATCTGAGGTTTTTTTTTTTTAATGTTCTCTTTGATAATAAGATCCAGAAAGGGTAAGAAAGAAAACATGAATTTAAGTCACTATTTTGAAACCAGATCAGGTGTTGAGATGTAAGTACACATTTTAACTGAAATAACAAAGCAGCTCCAGAAAAAGATGATCAAGAAAATAATGGGCCTGAACTACTCAATGAAGCAGTTAAGGAACTAAAATTATTAAGCCTGAAGAATCAAAGATTAAAGAAGACATAGTAGCAATCTTAAATATTTTAAAATTTTATACAGAAAACTAAACAATTACTTGAAATCCCTTCAAAAACCAGGAACAGGATCACTATATTAAAGGAAATTAGAGCTGTACAAAAAGGGAATCAACTGCTTCAGAAGGTATTCTTTTATTATCAGATGTATTAAAGTGAAAAATAATCTATTAAACCTGGAAATGTTTGGGGTTTTCTCAAACCATGAAAAACAAACAATTTTATGATCCTTTCCATTTGCTTGAAAATCCAACCCAGTCTCTCAAATACATATTGGGTTTGTGGGTGCTTTTTGGTTTTGTTTTCCTTTTTTTTAACAGAGTCTCATTCTGTTACCCAGACTGAAGTGCAGTGGCCTCACCATAGCTCACTATAACCTTAAACTCTTAGGCTCAAGTGATCCTCCAATCTCAGCCTCTTGAGTAGGTGGGACCACAGGCACCTGCCACTAAGGCTAACTTCTCTATTTTTGTAGAGATAAGGTCTTACTCTTGATCAGACTGGTCTTAAACTCTCAGCCTTGAAGCAATCCTTTTGGCTCAGCCTCCCAATGTGCTAAGATTAAATGTGTAAGGCACTGCACCTGGCCTACCCTTAAATACATCTTTACTTCTTTCCTTACATAAACAAGAGCAGGGAAATATAAAGGAATAGAGAGAAAGTGCTATTCATATCTGTGGCTATTTCTGTGATTTAGGCAGGCCTTTTACCCTCCTCACCCTTTACTTTCTTTCTTTCTTTATGAGTTGTTATAAGAATGATGTATGTAAAATTGCTTTTAAAAATATGAAGTACACAGCAGGCAATACCTGACCAGCCAATGTCCTACACTAGAAGTTTTCAACCCCTCATTGTATATTTAAGTCACACAGGGGAGCTTTGGGAAAAAAGCTATTCAAACAGTATTGAGAACAATTAAATCAGAATCTGGGGGATGAAGTACAGCCTTCATAAGTTTTAAAAGCTCTCCAGGTGATTCGAATGTATATCCAGGCTCAGAACCACTGTCCTGAAACTCACATTCCACATTTCCTCCTCTCCTTTCTATTAATACCTCTTCCTGAATATTCTGCTCCAATTCCACACTTCCAGCCAACTCTAGACAACTAGCAAATAGTGCTGTCCAAAGGCAAGAAAATGTGGGTGGCTGTCATAGAGAATGATGCAGAGTAGTATCCTACAAATTCCTTCTCTTAATGATGATATCCCTCAATCCTACTCTGTTAAAAGATGAATTCATCTCACCTCACCATTTTTTCTTGAACAGATATACAGATTTTTAAACCCTGTTTATCCTACAACTGTTTTAACTCTTGACCAGCTATCTCAGAAAAACAACTTTCTCTATCTTTTATCTGCAAAGACCAGTAACAACATCAGACACAGTAACAGTAGTACTTAGTAGCAGCAGTACCTATTATCCACTTAGCATTACTTTATGCCAGGGACTATGCTAACTGTACTGATATTATCATATCCAATTTTTATAATATAATTTGGATATTATCATATCTAAAGCCCTGTGGACTAGGTATTGTACATATTATGAATGAAAAAAACCTAGAGGCTCGGCGCCTGTGGCTCAAGTGGCTAAGGCGCCAACCACATACACCTAAGGTGGCGGGTTCGAATCCCCAGCCGGGGCCCGCCAAACAACAACGATGGCTGCAACCAAAAAAAAAAAAAAAAATGGCCGGGCGTTGTGGCGGGCGCCTGTAGTCCCAGCTACTTGGGAGGCTGAGGCAGGAGACTCGCTTGAGCCCAGGAGTTGGAGGTTGCTGTGAGCGTGATGCCATGGCACTCTACCCAGGGGGACAGCTTGAGGCTCCGTCTCAAAAAAAAAAAAGAAAAAGAAAAAAACCTAGAGCATAGGGAGTTTAAATAACTTGCTGCACATCGTACAGCTAAGGTAATTTGTAGCTAGAATTTGATTGCACTTCAGAAT